GATCATTGCGATCAGTTTCCCCCCCTCCCCCCCTCCCCTCCTCCCCGATCTTCCCCCCCCTCCTGGTATCACTACTCCCATTTCTGTTCCTGAGTATGATTTTCTTTATATGAATTCCAGGATAGGAAAATCCATCGAGAGTAACTAGATTAGCAGTTTCTTAAGGTGATAGCAGGGTAGGTTGGGAGCTCATAATAATGGATACAAGAATGAAGAAAGTGTTCTATCATCGATTGTAGTGATGACTACACCAATCTTTTTACTCTATTTAAATGATTGAATTATATGGCATTTAAATTACATGTCAATAAGACTGATAAAAGACAGTCTACACTGGTATGAGCTCATTAACATAAAAAAGAAAACCCTGCTTCCAAGTGCGATCTCATCCACAGATATTGGGGTTAGAACTCACCCCTATGTAACGTGGAATCACAGAGGACACAGATCAGAACATAACCAACACATGGAAGATAGGAACCTCTCCCACCACAGGGAAACAATCCCCAGTGTTGGAGGACTCGCCAGGGAAGAGCACCCACTGCTTCTTGAAGGTGGAGTGGAAATGGGATCTAGAGAAGGCAGGAAGAGGGCTGCTACACTGTGGGAATTGTGATAAAGGCCATGCACAAACTGCTGCATGGAAAACTAATTTTCTTTGTAAACTTTCACCCAAATCATCATAAAAAGTTTGAGAAAAAAAGGAAGAAGAAACTCTAAGAGTTCAACCATCCAAAGTTAAACAATGAGGCTGAGCATGACAGTGGGACAATAGTAAAAGGAAATAGAGTAAAAGTAAAAGGAAATAGAGGAAGGAACTAGGAAGCAAAGGGCATTTATAGAGGTCTAAATACAGGCATGCGCATTTGTAAATATATTTATATATGATGATGGGGAAATAGATCTATGTGCATATACTTATAGGTTTAATATTAAGGTAGCAGATGGACATTGGGTCTCTACTCAAGTACTCCCTCAATGCAAGAACACTTTGTTCTATTAACCCGGCATTCCATGATGCTCACTTTCCCCACACGATCACTGAAGACAAAGTGGGTGCATAAGCAAATGTGGTGAAGAAAGCTGGTGTTGGCCGGCTATCAAAAGATATAGCGTCTGGGAAAACGGGTGCATAAGTAAATGTGGTGAAGAAAGCTGATGGTGCCCAGCTATCAAAAGATATAGCATCTGGGGTCTTAAAGGCTTGAAGGTAAACAAGCGGCCATCTAGCTCAGAAGCAACAAAGCCCACATGGAAGAAGCACACTACCCTGTGCGATCACCAGAGGTGTCGAAGGGATCAGGTATCAGGCATCATCAGAACAAAAAATCATATCATTGTGAATGAGGGGGGCAGTGTGGAGTGGAGACCCAAAGCCCATTTGTAGGCCACTGGACATCCTCTTACAGAAGGGTCTCTGGGAGGAGACGAGCCAGTCAGGGTGCAGTATAGCACCAATGAAACATACAACTTTCCTCTAGTTCTCTAATGCTTCCTTCCCCGCACTATTGTGATCCCAGTTCTACCTTACAAATCCAGCTAGACCAGACCATGCACACTGGTACAGATAAGAGCTGGAAACACAGGGAATCCAGGACAGATAAACCTCTCAGGACCAGTAATGAGAGTAGAAATACCAGGAGGATAAGGGAAAGGTGGGGGGAGAAAGGAGGAACTAATCACAATGATCTACATACAACCCCCTCCCAGGGGGGCGGACAACAGAAAAGTGGGTGAAGGGAGACATCTGGCAGGGTAAGACATGAAAAAAATTTTTTATAAATTATCAAGGGTTTGTGAGGGAGGGTGGGGGTGGGAGGGGGAAATGAGTTGCTGATACCAAGGGCTCAAATAGAAAGAAAATGTTTTGAAAACAATGATGGCAAGAAATGTACAAGTGTGCTTGACACAATGGATGGATGGATGGATGGATGGATGGATGGATGGATGGATGGATGGATGGTGATAAGAGTTGTACGAGCCCCCAATAAAATGATTTTTTTTTTAAAGTTAAACAATGAAAAATCCCAGCACTGCCTGACTAGCTTCCATCCACTAGGAATTGGAAATCTCCATACACAGGCCAAGAAAGCAACTGCCCTGCGGTGGCCACATCCTATCCCTGCTCCCAAGGGGGCCCAGGTGGAAGGTGATGGACTCACATGTCAGAGGCAACACCTCCTGCAGAGCTGCCCTAACCTTTCAGCCCCAAGAGCTGATGGTAAAAATGTCACCACCAGCCCCGCCCTGAGCCCCACCCCCACCCCCAAAAAAGATTGGCCATAAGTGATCTAGATTCACACAGGGGGTCTTAGACATTTTCAAGTAAACCAGAGAACGTCAGAGCTTGATGGCAACCATCTGACCTCCTGAGTCCTGTAGGGAAAATATTTGGGGGGAGAGGGGGAGCGACCATGTATTTGACTGGCTCAGGGGAGAGGGGATCCTGATAATGCCAGCTGATGGCAAACGCTTGGAGGGCCTTTGAAGGCTTTAGAGAAAAGGAAAGTCGCAGAATGAGACCAAGAGAAAATATGCCCAGGTTGATTTTTTTCCCCCCTGAGACCCAGAGCTGTGATCATCCTTGGAAGAGTCAGCTGAGAGAGAAAGAGGGCAGGGGACAGAAAACAGACTCTCATGCGGCCATGTCAGGACAAGCCCACTGCCTGCAGGTGACAGAGTAGCAGGGGCCAGGAGTTAAACAGGCTTTTAAATTATCATGTCTTCTAGGAAGGACCTTGTGCCTCCAGCAACCCAGGACAGAAAACTCGAGCACTAACTCAATAGGCCAAATGGTCAATGAAGGGGCCAGGAGGAAAAGGCCCAGCCAATGACCAGGCCAAGGACTCCCTCGAAGGGTCCCTGTGGAATGGCCTCCAGTCCAGGAGGAAGAAGAAACAGAAATGGTCAGAGGGTCCATTTGAGCAGACTCCAAATTAAGAGTTCCTTTGTGAAGACACATATTTTGAAGGCGGGACACACATCAAATTCTGGAAATAGCTGGACACCACTAGGCTCAGCAAGAAGCTGGGGGGTGATGGCAGAAGTGGGAAGAATGAGCTGTGGCCAATCAAAGGAGAGGGAATCTCAGGCTGGGCTCTAGGAGCCGAGTCCTTCCCCCACCAGCCCCAGTGCTCAGGTGGCCACCTTGCCTCACCCAGGCTTGCCTGTGCTGATTAACCCCACTCTCTCCACCTAGGTGCTATCGAATGAGTTCCTCCAGAGAAGAACGGAGGCCCATCACTCCCTGGGCTCCTTAGACACCCAGGAAGTCATGAGGGACAGCTAAGGAGACTCAAAACGCCTTCCACTCAGATACCGGAGCTATAGCAAAGTGTGGCGAAGAAACCAGCTGGTGCCCAACTCTCAATAAAAAAAGCATCTGAGATCTTAAAGGCTTGTCTTAAAACAAGCAGCCATCTAAATGAGGCATCAACGAAGTCCACATGGAGGAAGCACACCAGGCTGGGTGATCCTGGGATGATAAATAATAAAATCCAAATCCCAAGGAGGGAACAGGATCCCAGCTTAAATTCTGAACACTCTGTTTGCAGACGGCTGTGGATGGCAGTGGAAGCCAAAGTCCATGTGCAGGGTCCTGCATGGATTAAGCCTGTGATGAGTCCCCTCTGACCATAGTCCGCGGATGGGAAGACCCTCGCGATGAGACAGAGCCCACTGTCAAGGCGAAGACGGCAGATGTCATGAGGTTAAAATGAAACACCTCATCATTTGACCTCCCTTTGACCCATTTTAAAGTTGTTTCCGCTTTTAATAATTTCTGCTTTCTGTTGAAGTTTTTCTGTTTTGTTTTGTTGGGGGGATTGTTTGTTTGGGAGGGTTTTTTTTGGGGGGGTGCTTCCTGTTTGTATTTTGTATGATTTTCTGTATACTCAATCCAGGAGAGGTAAATCTATAGAGGCAGCAGCTGGATTAATAATTACCTGAGGCAAGACAGGGTAGTTGGGGGGAAAGGGGAAACTACAACAAGAACAAGAAGTGTTCTAAAATTGATTGTGGGGATGATAATACAACTCTTCTTACTATGACTGAGCAAGTACAGTGTATGGTGATAAGTGAAGTACATGCCAATTAAACTATGTAGTAAAAATACAAATAATAAAAAATTTAAACTCAAAACTCAGGAACCTGGCAGCCCTTCCAGTGCCTGACAAGAATATATGGTTGGTCGAGGCAGTAGAAGGAAGAGAGCGAAGAAAACACATGTTTTGGGAAATCAGACCTCACTGTTCAGATGAATTTTCCAGTAAGCAGATCTGACCAATAACGGAAGTGGTTGCCTGGGAAGACGGTGGAATTCCCCATACTGGAATTGGTCAAGCAAAGACCATACCTTAAGGACCTACAGGAGAACTTCCCTAGACAATCTGTAAGGGTCTGATCATCTCTATAAAGTCCCATCCTATCCTATCTGAGATTCCAAAACATGAAATCTAGGGTGGGACCCTTACAGACACATTTGGAAATTTTGGAAGCATCAGAATTCCCTTTAGGATTCAAAGAAATACATTTTGGGAAAGTAAGAGAGGACTTCACACTGGTTATTAAGCTTCATTGCCCTCCGTGGTAGAAAAGGGCAACCGTAGGAAGGGCTTAGTTGAATGGATAAATATTCCAACCGAGATAGGTTGGTCACCGAGGGCAGTAAGAGGTGGCCCGTGGGAATGGCCCTCCCAGTAAAAGCTGGCAGCCCCCAGATGCCCATCTGTGCCCTGAGCATCTTTGAACCAGCTGTCCCAGGCAGCACATGGAATAGATAAACTGCACACAGGGCTGACTTCTTGCAAGTGTTGACTACAAAGCCCCGGCCCATACAGCACCACCCTTCCTACACGAAGAGACCTGGCCTTCGACACCCGAACAATTTCTGCCAGGTGGGGAGCACGCTGGTCCAGCCCCCACTGACCAAATGCTGCCCCTCCCCCAGGGCGAGGGAGGAGGGCCCTGAAAGAACTTTCGGGCCGCGGCGCATCACTCACAGTCTCGACAGAGCCTGGTTGTTCTGGAACAGCAACTCTGGCAGCGTGTGCAGTTGGTTCCGGTTGAGTCGTCTGCAAGAGACCCGAAAGAAGAGTTAGAAGTCACCTGGACACTCAGGCCATCGCAAGGACTTTTCCAAGGGCACTGGAGGCCGTGAGAAAGCCCAGGTTCAGAACCCTACGGGATCACTGTCGGACCTCAGGGAAATGGTTTCCGTGGGGCCCAAGACTCTTCACCTATGAAGTGGGCATCCGCTGTCAGCACGCAGGGTGGGTCAGAACAGAGTATCAGCAAAAGCCCCCAGCCCCCAGGGCCTGCTGGGAAGTGCTTGTTCCCTGGACAACTCCACTTTCTGCCTGTAAGACCCTTTGTAGTTTATAATGCGCCGATGCGAACCTGACTTCCATGTGTGACTGATACCTGATGGCACTTGAAAAGAGAAGTGTGCTCTAAAGAGAGCGTTGGCTGCACAGTTCTGGTTCTTAATTTCTTTCATACACATTTGGCTCGGAGGCTGAGCGATAGTTTCAATTTCTTATTGTTAGCTCTGGGACTTTTATAAAGAAGAAAGTAGCTCTGTTGAGTTTATGAAAATGCTTGCTTACTTTAAAAAAATAAGAGGAGACAAATGCTTCCAAGAAAGTAATCGAAAGTATTTGCAGCCTGAGTTTTCCCACTCGACAGTTTGTGAACATCGTTGTAAGCCAGTCAGCAGAGAACTAACTACCCCTTCCCCACTTTTGTAGCAAGATCTTATTGGACCAAGCTACTTTTCAGAGTGAGCTGGTTTTTACACAAGGTGAGGACAATGGCTTCTTTTTACAATGAATGACTCTGGGTTCCTTGAGCAGGTCTGATTTGCTTATAAAGATTCCACATTTACACTTTATATCCATTTCCACACCATTTCATCCTTTCCCACGGAGTTGGCCATGCAACCGCGGTTCCCATATAGTCCCGTCACTGTCCATGAAGATTGGTACAAGCGCACATAAGCTTGACAATCAGAAGTCACAGAAAGTAGGGTCAATGGCTAATTCTGAAGAGGACACCAGAATCCATCTTGGACACAGGTCTCATCTTTTAAAAATACAAGTTCAGCCTCACATTTTCCCATGTGTTCCTGTACCCATAAAACGGGCATAAAATAGAGGTTGTTGCTATGTGCGCGCGAGCGTAACGGAGGGAAACACTGCCCGGTCCGCGTCCTCCTCACGAATAGGACCTTCGAACCCATTGTTGCAGTTGCTTTGTCCATCCATCGCTGTCCACTGGCCAAGCCTGATGTCCTTTCCCAGCAACGGTCTCTCTTGACAACATGTCCAGGAGACAAAGGTTCGCCGTCCTCGCCTCTAAGGAGCACCCTGACGGTACCATCCCCGTGACAGATTGGCTTGTCCTCTCCGGCAGCCGTGAAACTTTCAATCATTTAACAACACCGTAATGCAAATGCCTCCGTTCTCCCTGTTCGTCCTTATTCATCGCCCAGCCTTTAACTGCATATCAGGCATGGCTGGTCTGTGGTGACAGCCTAGGAGGTCCCCCTTCATCCAGCTTTGGTGAGAAAGACCAGTGTCACTACACGGGAGACTGCCGTGCTCCGGCGTGGGGACAGACAATTAGATCAGCAATTTGAAGAGCCCAGCTGAAGAAGTGTGATCTAGGGAAACACATCCTTTGCCTTGAGAAAAAGAGACCACCATTGTAACCCTGAAAGCAACCGGAGGAGACATCGGATCACTGCAAGTCCCTTAACCTCCAGCCCATAAATTAATCCTGCATTTACATGGCCTGGCAAAAACCGGTTTTCGCTTTGTTTGGTTTTCCCCCCAAGACTGCTCTCATTTTTCAGGTTTCAATTTCTGATAAACATTTAGGAGGAAAGGGGAATTGATACCTATTTCAAAGTTACAGGCAAACCACCACCACAGGACACTAAGAGAGGAGCCAGCAGGGTTAGGAATATGCAGGCATCCAGAACAGGTTAGAGAAGCCCTGGTGGCGTAGTGGCTTAGACGCGGGGCTGCTAACCACAAGGTCAGCAGTTCAAAACCACCAGCCGCTCTCCTTGGGAGAAAGATGGGGCTTCCTGATCCTGCACAGATTTAGTCTCCGCCTCGCTGTGAGTTGGGATTGAGTGGATAGCGGTGGGGTGGGTTTGGTGATGCCAAGCCAGGGTCATAACAACAATAATGGCTACCAGGCATTTCATCACAGCAACCATGGTCAGTGCTTTGTGGGCATACCCCTCGCCATGAAAGCGTGGGTTTCTTTCGCTTCCACTCTGACAAGGATGCCTTACACACCTGCTCATACCACTCCCTGCAGGAGCAACCCCACCAAACGTGTCCCCGCCACCATCATCCCTCCACGTTGCTTGGTGCTCAAGGTAAGTTTGCTGACTTTGTTGAGCTGTGTCTCTTGGTAAATGAGGAAACTGGGAAGCCAAGAGTGAGGACCAGCACACTGACCCATCATGGCCATTTCAGGGCCAGCAGGACCCCAGTCTTCTCATTCAGCATCAGTGTTGTGCCTGTTCCTGTTTATGACAGGAGTAATTTATCATCATAATCAGATGGCTTAATTCACCGTTATGTCAACGCAGGAGATGATCGCGTGAAAAGAAAGAGCATCTCTTTGAAAACCCAGGTAGACTGGAAAGCTGCTGATTAAAGAGCTGTAGAATTTAGGCAAGGGGGAGAAGTGGGTCTCCCCCAGGACTGTTCCAAGGGCTGTTTAAAAACCTCCCTCCTCTTTAAAGGCACTGAAAGCAAACATCGAAACCAAGGTGAGCATGTGTGGGTTCGGAACCGCCCAGCAGTGTTTTGCACATAAAAGAAAGGTTTCGGGGAGCAGATAGGGAGGGGTAAGAAAGGCACATACATGTGTTTTAACTTGACTACACTGCCTGAGGCATGCATTGGCTTTTCTCGCTCCTCACTGTAACCCAATTTAATGAGTCACCGATCCGCCACTGGTGCCTGGCAAGTTAGGTGGGAGGGTGGCCAAGAGATGGGCCCTCACAAAGGTGGCATGCCATTTTTAACATGCACCCACAGGTAGAGAGGAGTCACCCCCACGCCCTAAGAATCCCGGCCCGGTGTGAAACTGCGGGTGACCCATTCCTGGAGAGGGAACAGGGAGAAGACAGGGGGCACAGAGTCTGCGGCGGCAGCAATAACAACAGCAAGCAGTTGTCACCGGGTCCACCCCAACGACGCGTGGTGACCCCATGCCGCATCAGAGTCCAGCTGTGTCCCTCGGGGTTCTCAACAGCCGAGTCTCCGGGAGCCGACCCCAGGCTTTCCTCTGAGGGCTCTTGGTGGGCTTGAGTCCCCACCTTTTGGTACACGGCCAAGAGCATTAACCATCTGCACCTCCGGGGACTCTGTGGTGTGACACAGGAGACACTCCAAACAGAGGACCCTGACAAGCGCTGGGTGGCAGCAGCGGGCATGACAAAGGCCACCACCATCAGTCATGCCCAGGCCCCTAACCTCTGCCCACCAGAGCTGGAGTAAAAATGAGTCACGTCCAAGCCAGCCCCCCACGGCGAAGTCATTTTGTTCTAAGTCATTTGAAGGAAATCAAGCCCAGGATGAAACATCTCTTCTCGCCGTGAGCTCCTTCTCTCTCTCTCTCTCTCTCTCTCTCTCTCTGTCTCTCTGTCTCTCTCTGTCTCTCTCTCCATCTTGGAGGCAGAAAGATGGCCTTGGTTCTTGTCGGGGTTGCAGGAAGCCACCAGACAGCATCGTATTTGTCTTTCTTGAATTCCTTCTCTTCTTTTCCTAGCAGGGAGCCCTGATACTACAGTGACTCGTGTTGGGCTGCTCACAGCCAAGGTCAGTGATTCAAACCCACCAGCCGCTCCTCAGGGAAAGGCATGCGCTGTCTGTGCTCCTGAGGACAGACGGTCTCAGAAACCCTGCGTTGGCTGGCTGGGAGTGGGAATCAACTCGATTGATTGGCAGGGAGTCTGCTTTCTTTTGGCTTTTGTTGTTCTTCTACAAAAAATGGAAAAGGAGGACGTCTGTCATCATCGTTCAAAGCTCAGGCTCTGGAGGCAATAGGATCCGGTTTTAACCCCCTCTGCCAAGTAGCCACTGCAAGTGGTTTAACCTCTATGAGGCTCCATTTCTCATCTGCAAAATACCACTTAGCCCAGTGTGGTTTTTCAGGATTCGATGAGATACGATGGGGCAAAGGGCTTCTCATGGTGCCTGGCATCGAGTAAGGCAATCATGATAGTTACAGACTCTTTGCAAGAAATCAGATCAACACAGGAGGGGAGTCCTCGCCTGTGCACACAGCCCTCGTTCCTGCCAGAGGCTCTGTCCCACAGCACCAGACACACACACCCCGCCATGCCCCACCGCGACTTACAGTCTCTCCAGCTCCTTCATGTCATCGAAAGCCCCCCGCTCCACCACTCCAATCTGGTTCTCCATCAGCTGCCTGCAGAAAGAAGACAGGGTGTTGGGCTGGCACTGCTAGAGAGAGCTGGCCTGGGGGGAGCAGAGGAGCAGACATCATTCTAGGGCCCCAGTGGTTGGGGATAAAGCCAGGGAAGAAGGATCCACACAGACTCCTGTGCGCCAGTTTGAAAGGACATCTCCTCATCACCTTGCTGGTTCCCAGCACCAGCTCCTCAGCACCCAGCCTTGACAGCAAAATGCTCTTGAGGGACCAGGACTCCCTCAAGACCTCCCTCAGCCCAAATGCCAGGGAGAAGGGGCACTAAAGTTCCCGGCTGTCGCTCCCAAGGCATGCCCCAGGTGGCTTGCACGCAGGTGCAGGCAGCATCGGCCAGCTGAGGGTGAGGGTGCATGAGCCTTGTCCAGCCCAGTAGGCTTACATCCAAGGGGCAGAGCTAGGAGACATGGGTCAGGAGTGGCAGAGGAAAACAGATGTCGACAGGGCAGAGCCCACCCATGCAGCAAATCCACTCTGACATCAGCGAGCACACCCTTTCTGCCCGTACCCCCCACCCTTCACCTGCACCCGTCTGCCTCGGAAACAAGTGGGGCGTCACATCACCCCAACAGGCTCCAGAGGACCCTGCGTCTCTTCACAGCCAGTGAGGCCTAAACCCAAGTGCCAGCGGCTGCTGAGAAGTGAGCGGGGAGGGACTCTGTAATTGTCAATGTTAAACTTCCTGACGAGGCAGGTGCTACAGGTGGCTCCTTCGAAACCCCAGCAGTCAAGACCAACGGAACTGTGCCCATCACCCTTTATCTCAGCCTCTCTCAGACACCTGAGGAGAATCAACTTTGTCCTCCACTGCCCCACCCGGCTCCCTCCCAAGCCAGGGGGGCTCTCGCCTTACTATTGAGTCTTTCTGAGGTCCCAGTTCAAAAGAACTATGAAGACCCCATGATTCCTAGGGGCTACCTGGGCTAACTTTGGCCCCAGGAGCTAGTCAATGAGCCCTGGATCAGGACTCACCAAACCCCTGCCCCACTCCCCCACTACGTGTGCTTAGGTCTGACTCCACTGATGGCCCTGGAACCCAGGAAGCCCACACTCCCCACGCAGGGCTCTGCCTAGGACCCAAGAAGGTAGATAGAGTAAAAGAGAGGTTACGGGCCTGGAAAGCACCCAGTACTCACAGCACCCGCAGCTGCTTGAGCCCCACGAAGTCATTCTTGTGGATTCGAGTGATGTTGTTGCCATTGAGCTCGCTGATGGAGGAAGAAGAGAAGGGTGTAGTGAGATGACCAGGATGGCTCCAGGCCAAGGACTTAGCTTCAGGGTCCCTCTGCAGCCGACCTAAGCCAGCAAGGCTGGAAACCTTCCAGACAAGCCCTAGAACCCCCAGGTCTCCTGGCAGCCACCAACATGGATGCTTGGGGCCTGGGACTCATTGGTGGGAGTGACATGGATTCCGCCTGAAAGAACTCAGCCGAGTTTGAAAAGGAGCCACTGAGAGAGGCTGTTTCAGTGGAAGCCACTTGGAACTGTGTCTACTTTGTAGTGTTAGCAGGAAGCTTAAACCAGTGAAGAAAGTCAAGACCGTGGCCTGAGATTGAAAAGGCTCCCTGTGACACCCATGACATCATCTGGGTGGATCTGGAGCCGAGAGCTGCCTATTTTCTGAGCAGGAGAAAGCAAAGAGGGCCCTACAACTGAAGAAGGCTGAGAAAGTGGGACTCGTGCTGAACCTCAAAAGACCGTGAAAATCTGCACAGTGAGAGGGACAGGGCAGACAATCCAAGGAAGGCCAGTGGGGCTGGAATATCCAAGGAGGGAGGGATAGACTGGGTCTGACGTCATGGGAGGAAGGGCTGGGGGAAGGGGTTCAAGCAAAAGAGAAGTAGAGCCAGTGAAGGGTCCAAGCCGGAGCCTGTCATGGGGCCTGTCCTTCAGGAGTGGGCAGGAGGGCAGGGCCGAGGAAGGGAGGATGTGGTGCCAGGGTTCACAGCTGCTGGGGCTCGTCCCCTCCCACAACCAGAAGCCCTCTGGTCCTTCCGTTCTCCTTCTCTCTTCCAAGATCACGGCTGCTTCTTTTTCAAATGCACTGCCACCGAGTTGATTCCCTGAGGTGCTGTGGCAGTTACATACCCTGATGTCAACTTGAGACTATGAAGAGTCAAGGGGTGGAGTCTGGCCTGTCGATCAGGTCACAGCTTGATGACCTTGTTTGGAGGCGCTACAGAGATCAATAGCTCACTGAAGGCCAGACCCACTCTCTCTGCAAGACATCCCTATTGACAAGCCACATAGTGCTATGCTGATGGAGCCAGAGCTCTGGAGCTGGAGGAGCCACGTGGAGACCCACTGACAGCACTGAGATGCTTCCACCACCACTGGATCCACAAGACTTCCCACCCACGGGCCTGTGATCTTCCTGCATTCAGCGTTATTGCATGTGTTGTGTAAAGTCTGAAGAGGAATTTATAGACTATTATTGGCATATGGGATAATATCAGACTTATGGACTTGATCTGGACTGGGCTGGGTTGCTTTCTTAATATGCAATTACTCTTTGATAGAAAGCTCTTTCTTATACACAAATGAGTGTCTCTGAATTTGTTTCTCAAGTCAACCCTGACTAACACAGGTACCTTGGGCACGGACTTCTCTTTAGAAGCCATCTGGTACCACGTCCCAGCCCTACCCACTCAGAGAAGGCAGCCCCTGCTAAGCCACGGCTCTTCACAAGGACCTCACTCAGTCTCACACAAGGCAGCCCACTCGATGAGTCAGGGACTTGACTTCTTCCAAAGTTCTCCCACTGAAGCCACAGCAAATGGAATCTCCCAGGTCCAGCTCCATCCCCAGCTGTTCACCTCCGGCATCCACTCTGTCTCCATGGAAGCTCCAAGTTCACACCAAGCCACTACCTCCTCTTTCTCACCACTGTGTGCTGTACAACAATCTACCCCCATCCCAACACGCAAGCACACACACGCACACACACACACACACACACACACACCACACGAACCTGCAGCCCAGTCTTCTCATAACAATCAGAACCTGGAATGTACGAAGTATGAATCTAGGAAAACTGGAAGTTGTCAAAAATCGAAATGGAACACATGAAGATCGATAGTCTAGGCCTTTGTGAGCTGCAATAGACTGGTTTGGGCCATTTGGAATCCGAAATCATCTGATTAACTATGCCAGGAATAAGAGTTTCACGAGGCATGGCACCACTTTCATCATCAAAGACGATATTTCAAGAGCTGTCTTGAAGTGCAATGCTGTCTATGATACAATAATCACTGTTTCACATACAAGGAAATAAGTCGGTACAGTTACTATTCAAATAGACAGTGAGAGGCTAAATATAAGCACCAACCACTAGAGCTAGTGTTGAAGAAACTGAAGAATTCTACCTATGTCCTCAGTCTGAAATAGATTAAACAGGCAATCCAGGTGCATTGCTAAGAGCTGGCGATTAGAATGCAAAAGCTAGAAACCAAAAGGAAAGAACAGTGGCTGGTTAGGGTGGCCTGGGTGACAGAAAAGAAGCTGAAGGCCACGTGATGTAATCTTGCAAGACCAATGACCTCTTCATCGAAAATACCTTTTCAACAACACACAGACTTTTCCAGATGGAATACGCAGAAATTAAACTGACTACATCGGTGGGAAGAGACATGGAGATGTTCAATATCAGCAGCGAAAACCAGGCCAAGGGCCAACTGTGTAACAGACTATCAATTGCTCATAGGTGAGTCCAGGTTGAAACTGAAGAAAATTAAAACAAGTCCACAAGAGCCAAAATGTGACCTTGAGTACATCCTACCTGAATTTTGAGACCATCTTAAGGACACTGAACACTAATGACATAAGCTCTGATGAGCGGTGGGATAACATCAAGAACATCATCCATGAAGAAATCATCAGGTCATTAAAAAGACGGGAAAGAAAGAAAATCTCAAAGTGGTGTCAGAAGAGACTCCGAAACTTGCTCCTAATCACAGAGTAGTGACGACAAATGGGGAAAATGAGGAAGTTAAAGAGCCAAATGGACAACTTCAAAGGGTCGTTCCAGAGAACCAGGTAAGATAGTAATACAGACACCTAGAAAACCAGAAAGGGAGAATGCGCTCAGCATATCTTAAACTGAAAGACCTCAAGAAAAAATGCAAAGCCTGGAGTTTCAATACCAAAAGATTCTGTGGGCAAAATATGGAATGATGCAGGAAGCACCTAAAGAAGATGGGAAATAGACACAGAGTGCTCTCACTGTACTGGCTGACATTCCAAAAAGAACTGGTTGGTTATATGTATTAAATTCCAACAAAAAGAAGAGGAGGAGGAGGAGGAACTGGTGGACAGTCCACCATTTTAAGAGGTAGCAAAGGAGCAAGAACCAATGGTACTGAAGGGAGGTGTCCAAGCTGCACTGAAAGCATTAGATACAACCAAGGCTCTGCTCTACTTTAAATCTTACCTCAGTACGAGAACAGTTTGTTCTAATAATGTGACACTGTATGATACTCACCTTCCTTACATAATCTCTGAATACAAAATTGGTTCCAGAGCAAAGGTGGTAAAGAAAGCTGATGGTGCCTGGCTATTAAAAGATATAGCATCTGGGGCCTTAAAGTCATGTAAATAAACAAGTGGCCATCTATCAGGGAGCAACAAAGCCCATATGGAAGAAGCACACCACCTTGTGTGATCAGGAGGTGTTGACGGGAAAAGGTATCAGAAGTTCAAAAACAAGCAATCAGATTGATGTGAAGGAGCGTGGACAAAGTGGAGACCCAAAACCCACCTGTAAGATAACTGGACAGTCCCTCACAGAAGGGATGATAAACCCAGGTGCAGTATAGCATTGATGAAACACATAACTATCCTCCAGTTCTTGAATATTTCCTCCCCTTACTATTATGGTTTTGTTTATCTCTTGTTAGACCTATATGTTCATTTGTATAATTAAGACCATTTGATGCATGAAAGCCAAGATAGATAACCCTTCAGAAACAATAACAAGAGTAATGATTCCCTGAGGGTACGGGAAGTGGGGCAGGGAGCTGATAGCAATGATGACTACATAACCCCATTCGAAGGGAATGAATAACAGAATTGCAGGTAAATGGATACATTGGATGGTGTAATATACAGCAATATATATACAATATAATAATATATATTATAATAATAAGAGTTCCTGGGGGATAGGGTGGGGGTGAGCGGGGATAACCAGGAGATGATATCAAAGTTCAAGAAGAAAGACAATGTTTTAAACTGATGGTGATAGCAATTGTGCAATTTCCCTTGATCTAATTGAATTATGGACTGACATGATATCTGAAAGAGCTCCCAATAAAATGATTTTTTTAAATCCTAAATAATCAGGCCCCCATCTCAGGAATGTTAATGAATAAACAAAATCTAGAGTTTTAAACAAGAAAAAGCCCCAGGAATTGATAGAACACCAATTGAAGTGCTTCAACAAGATGACGAAGCCCCAGAGACACTCATTCGTCTATGCCAGAAAATTTGGAAGTCAGCTACTGGGACAACTGACTGAAAAAGACCCATATTTGTACCCATTACAAAGAAAGGTGACCCAACAGATTGCGCAAATTATAGAACTAATCATTAATATCACATGCAAATAAAATTTTGCTGAAGATCATCCAACAACAGTTTCAGCAGTACATTGACAGGGAGCTGCCAGAGGTTCAGGCTGGACTCAGGAGAGGACCTAGAACAAGGAACATCATTGCTGATGTCAGATGGATCTTGGCTCAAAGCAGAGAATACTAGAAAGATGTTTACTTGTGTGTTATTGACTATGCCAAAGCATTCGACTATGTGAACCATAAGAAGCTATAGACAACCTTGAAAATGGAGATTCCAGAACGCATGCTTGTGCTCATGTGGAACCTGTACATGGATCAAAAGGCAGTTGTGCAAACTGGTTTAAAATCAAGAAAGGTGTGTGTCAGGGTTGGATCCTCTTATCACACTTATTCAATCTATTTACTGAGCATGTAATCAGAGGCCGGGTTATATGAAGAAGACTTCGACATCAGGACTGGAGGAAGGCTTAATAACAGCCTGCAATATGCCAATGACACAACCTTGCTTGCTGAAATAAGGAGGAATTGAAGCACTTGCTGATGAAGATCCGGGATTGCAGCCTTCCGTGTGGATTACAGCTCACTACGAAGAAAACAAAAACCCTCACAACATGACCAGTAGCATCATGAGAAAA